CCATATACATGGCAGCAACTCGAAACATACTGCAAGAAACTGCGGTTGTCAACCCCCCGAAGTCCACACTCCACTGTGCGTCAATTGCTCAGACATGCACACAGAAGGCACGTAACCCTTGTTTAGCGAGCACCTGATTGTCTAGGGTAGCAGCGCTTTGCAAAAAAACACGGAGCAGGACAACGTTGTGGTCTTCTACACCCATGTTGTCCTTCTCAGTCTGGCGTGGTTGAGTATTTTACACATTTAGCAGCTGGCCCCAAGGCCCTCGGTCGCGAGGATTCTGCCCCTCATTGTTCTTGGAAAACAAGGCGACGAGAACGAAGGAATGGGCAGGGCTCAGTACCGAACCTTTGCCATGGCGGTCTATAAGAACTGAGGGTGGATGCCTCTGCTGGTCGCTATCCCCAGAAAGTCATCAGTAGCACTTCTTGTTACTTGGAGACTTTAGGACAAGCTTCTATAATATCTTGTCTCGCGACGACGACGACGGCGTTTGCTTTCGATGTGCAACAAGACCGGGAACATTCCATTCTGAGTCGAGAAATGAAGGAGACCTGGCCGATTTTGGTTTGCTCTTCTCTCCAGACCTTGGTGTCGTCATTCGCGTCGTTGGCGTCGCCTCACGAAAACATAATCATGGCAGACCACGCACCTACTTAATCCTCAACTTCAAAGACATGGAGATCACGCCCAACGTAACAGCGGCGCAGCTGTGGCAAAGAGGAGTCGGAGAACACGTCAGAATCTCAATCGTCAAAGCCCGCGAGTCTGAGCTCATTGAGGCTATGATCTTGGGATTTCTTGCACAGGCTGGTCATGCGTGGGTGCATCGCCAATCAATGGTCAGACCAGGCAGCGAACCGATGTCTATCAGAGACCGTTTGTCAGGCTCTCACTTGAATATATAGATATGGATGACCTCGACATGTTCTACGACCGTATAGCCGCTCATTTCCATGCAAACCCATCGGAGTAAGAAGCCTGGTTGCTCCCGAAGGCGACGTCCTTCCAAAAGCCGTCGCTAATGCTACTGTTTCAATCACCCATTCAGCTGCTGCCGCTCATATAGACGGCATAGAGCTGGGGAAAGCTTTACCTCAAGTGGTGGGGCTTGTTTCCCCCAAGGGAGTACGTTATGAGGAACATGACCGATCTTCAGTATAGTCGCATGTCCCGGGCCCTGGCACTAGCCATGAGCCCAAGGCCAGCCTACAATTACAACTACAACTGATGGTACTTCCGCTGGGGGTTTTTCGACTTGGGTTGGGCACTGCCCGGACTCGGCTAACCGATCGGACGACAGGGGAGGGACCCAGAGCGCGCCTGGTCTAAGCAGCACCGGCAGTTCCAGATGGAGTTCTATGAGGAACTTGAGCATAAGCCTCGCTCGCACGCCGGTCGTCTGCAGTAATCCAGAGGATAGCACGTCGCGGTCCAAGGTGGTCTCTGGTAATGCCAGTTCTCAGCTGTCGTCGGCCTTCCTCTTCTTAGCGAAAAGTCAAGGACGAGCAAAGTTATCTTGAATATTGCCCTCCCAAGACGCGCACTCGCGATCAGATGCGGGGTGGGTGTCGCCGGTATCATGACTGGATCATTCGCAGATCAAACCCACTAAGTTTCCATTATCGCAATCGAGTACATCGGTGGCTCTATCTGGAGCACCTCTTTCCGTTTGCTGGTCCCAAGCCCGAGGTCGTACCAGAACGTCGAACCATCTGAAGCTGTCAACACCGACCACAAAAGGGCTGAAAACCAAGGAGGCCAGCGTTGACTCGGATTTTGCACCATATATTACAGGGCGGTTTTGAAAACGAGAACCAAAAAGTATAACAAAAGACGCTGGAACGATCAAATGAACGCTTTCAGTCTACATGTAATCTCTATGGTAAATCAACACAATAATGACAGCAAATAATGATCATAGTCTCAAATGAATGTTTCTAGTCTACAATCCAATTTCTTGGTCAACCAGCGTGCAAACCGAACAAAATTCTGGTCACCCATTCTCCAGTACACATCTCCGAAGAGAGCACATCGGTCACGTAGATAATGATAGACTCAGCCATATCAACAGAATACCCGGCGTTCAGTACTCGGTATTTGAGGCCCAAGGTAAGGAATCACTGCTCAACGGCCCTGTGAAACAGGTACACGCCATAGCTGATATCACCCAGATACGGATCCAGCGCGCGTGCAACCCACGCTGCGGAAGGGGCAAGTTCTACAGAGCAGCCAGTGCTCTTATTCGCTTATAAGTAGTCACCCGGCCATCTCCTTTGCCACAAGTATCGAACAAGTACGAGGAAAATCGGACCGCATATTAACATATGTGCTAAGAATAAGTAACCTGAAAGCAAAGCGACGACCTAGCGCCTAAAGCTTTGATGTCGCAGTAGGGCCTTCACAGCCACAGCCGTCATCCTCATTCTTCACCTTGCTAGATTCAACCAAGGTACTCTTGTTGAAGCTCTGCTCACTAGGAGGCACATCCAACGCGGGGTTCTTGTCAAAGAAGTTGACTGGCTTGAGATGAACCTTGAGAATCTCGACTGGCATAACGGGGAAGTCTTCGATTCTTGGCACATGGTTGATGCCAAACTGCACCCAAACCACAATGTCAGACTCGGCAGTCAATGTCTCATTCCGCTCAGACCAGCCCCTGACACCTGTTCCTCCGCGAGACTGATTGGTATACCAGCCGCCGGCGTAAAGCTCCCGGTCACGATGTGTCGTGACATAGATGTTGTGGTCCGCGAACTCTGCGCGCTTGTAGTTGAAGCTATCATGGTCGCTCATGAGCTTCTGGAAAGGCGGCGCCATGATCTTGTAGGCCACTGGCTTCCCGTTGATGGGGTTGAGAGAGTTGGGGTTGGTGATCTTGAACGTGCGATTCACGTCAAAGTCAAGGTCAAGACCCGATGTCTTCTCCACGACCTTGTCGATGACTTCGTAGCCTGTGCCGTGAGGGTTCCAGTTGGGATCGCGGGGCATCTTGTGCGCTTCTGAGTACACTAGCTGGTTGGTGTGTCCATCAATCATGGGGTCGACGCGCAGGGAAAAGATGTGTTGATGGTGTCCCGCGAGAACACCAGGGTGAACAACGGTGCCGAAAGACGTGCCGACCTTGTCCAGCTCATGGTCGATGGGCTGTGTTGACAGGATACCGGTGGCTCGGACCTCGTAAGTCACCTCACCGGCTTGGTTGAACAGGAACATCAGAATGTACTCATAGTTGGAGACCGTAATGATGCTCTGGAGAACCAGTTCGCGAGATCGTACGAGGGCGGCACGTCCGGTACGGTAGTTGGTGTGCTTCCAGCCAATGCCTGCGTCTTGCTCGTGGATGCAAATGCAGTTATCTCTGGATTCGGGCTGACCGCGGTCATCGGAGATGACACCACTGAGATACTGAATACTCCCCAGACAGTCGCAGCCCAGCTGCAAGTTGTTGGCAGTGGCACCTGCGCCGGCGTCGCCGAGATCGAAGGCAGCTTTCTTGTGGAACGGATGACGCGGGTCACCGTACGGCACACTCATCTCTGAGAGTGAAAGTCTGTAGAATAGCGGACGGCCATCGTACTTGACATTGTACAGTACCATACCTTCGCGCTGGTTGAAGCCTGAGGCACTTGGTGTCAGCCACTCTTCCCAATGATTGATCTCTCTCTCTCTATCACGCTTTACATACCGATGAAGAAACTCCACTTCTGCCAATCGAGCACATTGCCGGTCTCTCCCACGGGAGTGACGGTGAAGCTGGGCCCCTCGGGTTGTATAACCTGGAGAGGCTTGAGGTCTTTTCGGAGGTTTTGTGCCTCAGGGATGTACTCGTTTCCTGGCTTGGGCTTGTACGGGCTGAGAGGCTTGATGGTGTTATCGGCGCCAGTGGGGAGAATATCAATGCGGACGATCTTGTACTCGTTGCATTCTACCACGGGCAGGATTGGTAGTGGGAAAGCATAGTGATTAGAGTCGAGCTCGGATGAGTTATTGGGGTCTCTCATGTAGAGGAAGACTTGATACAGGCGTGCATCATCATTTACACCATCGGATCCTGATAACAGTTAGTCGTAGGAAATACGAGCACTAAATTTGGGCACTTACCGTAGATCCAAGGGTCAGCGCAGACAACTGTGCCTTCAGGTAGCTCGAGTTTCTTGATCTCGGCAAGGACCTTGGGGTCCTCAAGGGCGATTTTCTCGACCAACTGAGCCTCGTCGTAGTCGACATTGCCGTGGACGTTGGCACCGAGCTTGAGGTTGCTCTCAACCTTTCCGCTTGTCAGGTTGACTACCGCTTCGTGGAAGAGGTCCTACACCGATTTTGTCAGCGTCTTTTCCAGAAATCAAATCGGCGAAGGCTGGTAATCGTACCGTTCCCCGGATGTAGTACGCAAGGAACGCCCTGCGATCAGGCTGAGTAGCGGACAGTCCCTTGTCCTTTGCGTCGAGGTAAGGTGACAGTTCTCCCTTGGCGGGCTCACTGAGAGTCACCACCTTGAATCGAAGAGAAACTGATGTTGGCCAGGCAGTCTGGATCACCTGTGCTGCGGCTTGTATCTCCGCACCCGAGAGGGGACAGAGGGGGTGTGGTGATGACATGCTGGAGACGGGCGATGTGGTTGAGGGTTGTAAGTTAAGAGACTACAGTTGATCTCAAGCGCAGGTGAGGGAACAGGAAGGCTTTATAACCCGAACCCAAGAATAATGCGTGGATGTTAGCGGCACCGTTGTTGCTGGCCTCAAACCGCGGCGGGAACCCTCCTCTTTATCGGACCTCGTTGCTGCGTAAGTTCGGCGCAGGTGATCCACATTTTAGGAGTGGCGCTTGACCCGCATGTCCCCTCCGGGTATAAGCGTCCTGCAGCTTGGTTCCATGCTGTCACGGCACCTTGGCATCGCTTCTTATCACCAAGTACATGTATCATCCTTGTCGGTATTTCTGCCCTCGAGCTCCGATCTGGTGCCTCGACTTTAGCAGACGTCCTTTGACCTGAATTATAGGAATAGCCAGCTATCTTCCAGTTCCCAGAGATAGATGAGCCAGGACTTTGTCATCCTCTCGGCATCATCTCGGGCCCAGATCCTTTCCAGCATCTCAATGGCGTTTCTGACATTGTAGCAACACGATGATATCCAAATATTCCTAAAGATTTCCCGAACCATGATCTTAAGATCGGCCGCTTGAATCTCTGCTCCAATGACAAAAGCCGGCCATACTAGGCTCTTCACATGGAAGTCCTGGGCTGTGATTGAGAGCATGTGGAGTATGGCGGATCGAGTTGCCACATCAAGATGCAGATTATAGAGATGCTGCCCTTGATCAAGCAGGGGGCCGACTATGTTAGAGGCATACACTTCAACCGCGACCTTGTAAGCATGCGCAAGGTGCGAGCGCGATTGGTGGTGCTCAGGATCTGGGAAGTTCTCCGCCCAAGCTGAAGGCGAGAAGTTCTCGAGACTTTTACACAACTCTGCGGCCTTCAGCTGGTCCGCTCCTGAACAGGTTGAGAGTGATCGCAAAGAGTTGATGATGGAAACGAGGTACAGCAACTCAGCAGGACAGCCAACCCAAGTCTGATCTTCAGACTGCCGCAAAGTCCTCAAGAGGGACGGGTCCAGCGACGCCATCTGCTGGGCAAAAGAGCCTTTTGCTGGCGCTAGCGTTGCGCCCATGATCCCAAACCTATCAGCAGAATTAGCGGTGGACTCGGGTAAGGCATTTCACAGAATGACCCTACGTCGTGTAGGCTGTGTCGAAATATTCTAGCCAGTGATCGGTTCCAAGACTGTGATTATGAGGGGAAGCTTTCCGCTGTTGGAGTATTTCACCAGCGCCTCCGAGGTGATGCTCCCATCCCCGACTACCAAACTCGACCACATCCATGCATATGAACAGAACAATGGCAGCCACTGCGGCATCATTATTTGTCACATCTTCGTCTTGTATCTCTGCCTTCAGGAACTGCAGGGCTCTTTGCTTATGAGACAGGGCTACACGCAGTGAGGGCGAGAAGTTTGGTTGGCTCAATTGCCAGTCGCGTCCCTCCGATTTATGCCACAGTGAAGTATTGTCAACCTCAGGAAGCCTACTTTCCGCACGGGGAACTTGGATCTGGTTGATGACCAGGCGATGAGAGTAATGGAAGGCCGATATTGCAATCATTGCATGGGATAAGGCATGACTCTTGGACATAAGCGGCATAAGGGACAAGAAAGGATTGCTGGATGTCTGGTACACGACGCATTCCTTGGACATTTCCATGTCAACTGACACAGCATGGTCAGCGCCTTCACCTTGGGATGATTTGGTCTGGGTTACGGCTTACAGTAGCGTATGTACTTCCGGCAATCAAGAGATAAGTCTTGCAGGTCAGGGTCAATGAGAGACCATGACACGTCAAGTGAAAACGGCTGTGCTTCAGGCAACGTCTCCCAGGAGTATCTCACTGCGAGGGAGTCCGGCTGATGGGGTCTTTTGCCTAGTGGATCGCCGTTTGGTTCTTGATCTGCACCGAATGTGACTTTTCCCATCATCTTGCCTCTGCTGGCCACACTATTGGTCCATACCAACTTCTTCGGTCGGTCGTATCCTTGGCACCGAAGCTTCAAGGAGGTGCAGCGGAGACATGTTGGGAGGAGTCTGTCACACTTGGCCCGCTTCTGCCGGCAGGTCCAGCACGAATTGGAAGCGTGGGACGCGTCTGGCATGACAAATGGAACATTTTTTGGTTGGAGAGTGGGTGTCTGTGATGCGAGATGTTTGCGTGAAGTTGGGCCCGGGCGAGATGTGGAGGTGAAAGTTGGCAGGCGGGGTGTCTTTCTTATCAAACGGCAGACCCGGCAGACCGGGAGGCCGGCAGATTATGCGATCGACGCTAGTCTCCATCAGGAAGCCAAGACGCGGCCCTGGTCGGAACCCCAGATTTGTCCTTCACTCTGACACCGGGGCTTCAAAGTTCGAGGGCTGGGATTGCTCTACATGCCAGATATGAGCGATTTGTGTGTCTCTTGATGAGTTCAAAGTTTTACAAGTCATACATTGGTTGTTTTCATGAGGGTACGGTGAGTCATTGTGAGTTTTCGCAGCTACACAAACCTCCGCCGTGGAAGGCCTCAGATCACCAACCCGCAACCTACGACTTCCGTCGGATTTTGCTCCGTCCTGCCCAGACTATTTGGAAGCAAGTATGTATCACACTCAGCGTATCGGCCAACAAATGCGATGCGAGCAGAAGTTCGGAAACAGGAGCGAAATACAGCTTGAGAAGCTTAGATTTCACTGGAGCATTCTTAAGGAATTGCTTTACAAAGTAATTCAGACTGACTCAATGCTGCTTGAAGTCCCTCACATGTCCTTGCTTCCGCTACGGAGGACATCGGTGCGAGGGCCACTCGCAGCCGGCTCCAAGCTCAGCTGATTTGGACGTACAGGTAGTCAGATCCGCAATGTTCTGAACCATTCACAAGATACTGGGTGTTGATCACAGTGAGAAGCTGAAATACCTCAGTTCCTAAGCTCTTGCTTCACAAAAGCAATCGCGAATCTCGGAATCCCCCGCATTCTCAATGATTTTGGAGGGGCACATGGCCAATGCGAAAAAGTGGATTTTCGTATTCGCGAGACCTCATTCCGGACCCCATCCTGACCGGACCGGGTTGACCTTCCGATGCGGGGGCGTTTTGTCGCCGTTATCCAGCTTGCGCCGGGAGACCCTGCGAGATAGCCTATATCGGAGAGAATTGGGACCGAAAAACAGGTGCTTAAATCAGATTGATCCTACCGAAGTCAAGCTACTTCAACCCCTGAGACGTAAACTGACGGTTTCCTGCTATCTTCACTTTCTCCGAAAGCGCTGGAATCATCACTTTGCCCAACATTGTCATTCGCCTTGAGATAAAAGATGTCTTCTAGAGAGAAGAGCCCCTTTTGGGTCGAGTCCGAGGATTGGCATACCGCCGGCGAGCCTTTCCGCATTGTGGACAAGCTGCCGCAGGGCTATCTACCCGAGGCGCAAACCGTGGCCGATCGTCGTTTCGCTGTCATCAGGGATCCCGGCCACCCACTGGATGAGCTTCGTCAGTCACTATGCCACGAGCCTCGCGGCCACGCCGACATGTATGGAGGTTTCATCACGCCACCTGATGACTCTGGGGCTCATTTTGGCGTCATGTTCTGGCACAAAGACGGATTCTCAACTGCATGCGGGCACGGAACCATCGCACTGGGGTACTGGGCTGTGACGAAGGGCCTTGTCGAAGCACCCGAAGTGAACGGGGTTGTTGACGTCGTCATCGATGTTCCATCCGGGCGTGTGGTGGCCAGCATCAGCGTCAAGGAGGGCAAGCCTGTCCATGCCGACTTTGTCAATGTGTTGAGCTATCAGCTTGTCAAGGACCTCGAAGTCAGAATCCCGTCTCACGATGCAACTATCAACGTCGATCTTGTCTATGCTGGTGCTGTCTACGCTACGTTGGATGCATCTCAGTTCGGACTCGTGGTTGAGCCTAGTAGACACCAGGACTTCATCAAGCTCGGTAGAGAGATCAAGGCTTCCATTGGCGATAAGGCCAACTACGGCACCTATGACCTCTATGGCGTCATCTTCTACAACGAAGAAGGCGATGTCAACAACGAGCAAGACGAAGTAAAACAGAGAAACGTCACCGTATTTGCTGATGGACAAATCGATCGCTCTCCATGCGGTTCGGGTACCTGTGCAAGACTTGCGGTGCTACTTGCGCAGGGCAGGATAGCAGCAGGTCGCTCCAAACTCACGCATAAGTCCATCGTTTCTACCTGTTTTCAAGCCAATATTGTATCTGAGGAAACCAGTCCTGTGGAAGGCTTCCCGGCATGTATCCCTCGCGTCAGGGGACACGCAAATCTGGTTGGGCGGATGAACTTCTACATCGATCCTTCCGATCCAGTTTACCCCGGTTTTCTCCTCCGGTAAGGATAGGACTTTACCGAACCTACTGCGACTTCGGGGCCTCGGGCCCGTCTTGTGGAGCCGAGTACAGCCGCTCCGGACTCCGACTGGAACTTGAGTAAGACGCGTGAGGTGGAGACTTCTTCATGAGGCTTCCGCCCCTAATGTGAACGCGACCTACAGTCATATCTATTGAGCCGGTCTGACTTATGGACGTCACGGTGGAAGCTTTACTTATCTGCACATCGCTTGAGGTACCTAAATGATTCTGCGCTGGAAGAAGATTTCACATTAGCCGGAATGACCAGCGATCATTAGTTGTATTAGGTCAACTAGAGATAAATTCGTCATGTTCATTATGACCGTACGAGGAGGGCTGATTCTCCTTGCGAAGCATCGTACCCTGCATAATCCCCATGTTCATTTATGAAGAGTTGTTGCCAGTCGCAACTCCCCAGAAGTATCCACACCAACTTCCCAAGATAAGCACGATCAGCGCTATGAAGCAGCTCTTGGAGATGAGTCTGTTCTTCTCGCCATTCTGCCCGTAGAACCTCTCCTTTCTGACGTTCAGAATCTCGCCACGCGCGATACGCAATTTGCGTGTCCACTGCAGGTGTCCAAGGTCGACCGACTTCCAGGACGCGAACGTAAGGAGGAAAGAAACCACCACGGAGATTCCGGCAAGAATGACGTAGACAATAGTGACCTTGTCGTAGGAGTTGTTGTCGTTGTCTTGAATGACACCAGTAATGACGCGAACGACAATGTTCATTCTGAAGAAACCATCCTGTTAGCTTCGACCAGGCATCAGGTATCGTTTATGCAGGGAATCTTACGCGTTGTTCATGGTGATCTTCAATGCATATGCCGAGCCAAAGACAGTCGAGTCCCACATTGACGTGCGGATACTGTCAATGATGGTGGCGGGTCCGAAACAGTAGGCGAATGCAAAGACTCCGAAACTCGCAGCAGTGCCCTGAGTGGTGTTGGCGAAACACACGAGCAACATGGAAGTAAACATTCCAATGCCACAGAAGACCACTAGAGGGCTTTGTTAGTTACGAGGAAGCGCGTTTCGCTAGTTGTCACAATGGGCCAGCACTTACAGACTGAAATTCGGTTGCCGTAGAGATCAAGGAAGACTCCAAGCAGGGGTACAACGAAGAAACCTGGCTGCGTTAGCAATTTGAAAGACTGGGGCGAATATCAAGATTATCTTCTTACCGGCATATTGCAACGTGGCGCTATACCAACCAGCAGTGATGGAACTGGTTCCGAAGCGCTGCTCGGCCAGCTCAGTCGCGTTCTGCAGGAAGACGATGGCGGTACTCGTTTCGAACAATGAGAAGCCCATCACAGCCCAGAAAGCCCACGGCAATTCGAGAACCTTGCGCAACTCGAACTTCTTCGTCTTTTCCTTCAACCTCTCACCAGTTGCAGGATCGCTGACGCCATGGAATTTGCTGTTGGCAACCTTTGTGAACCAGTAGAACACACCCGTCATGACGTTCGTGAAGAGGTTCATGAAAACCGCAACCCAAAAACCCAGGCAAAATCTCCCGTCTTCTTGGCGATGATATTAGCAGACGATTTTCCAGCAAATGCACCAATCTTGCCGATGCCCAACTCGAAGCCTAAAGTCGACGCAAAGCCGTTGCCGGGGGCGAACCAGGATGAGAAGACTTTGTATTGCGCCACTTGAGTTGCGATATCTCCGAGAGAGCGGATGACTCTGCCGGCGATCATAAACTTGTAGGAGCGGGTCTGAGCTGCTGCCGCCACAAGAATGGAACCAGCTGAGTAGAGGAAATTGCCGTATAGCATGGCACCTGGTTGCCTGTCAGCAAGGCTCGCATTGATATTCCCAATTTCTTCTTGCCTGCACCACCAATTCTGTCCGTAACGACACCACTGAGTAGCATCAGAGCCGTGACCATGAAATCCTCGCTAGCTTCCAAAAGAGAGAACTGGGTGTTGTTGATCTTCATCTCCTTTTTCATCGTCGTCTTCATGGCACCACTCAGTCCGGAACTCCATTGAGAACCAAATCCAATGGCAGTCACCAACACAACAGAGGCCAGCTTCCATGTCAACGGAACCGGTCTGAGGCTACTGTTGACTGAGACTTCATCGCTATCCGGGGACGCAGAGACGGCAGTCGTGAAGCCCTGCTTTTCGTTTTGACTCGTCTCAGAGACATGGTCCGCAGGAGCTTGCTCGGCATCCCGAGGAGGTGGCACTGCTTCGGCAGCCATTGCTTGAGTGTTGAGGAGGAGATGCTGAGCTGAGACCCTCGGACTAGTAGAAAAAATAGAGTGTCTACTGTAGAGCGAGAGACGATGTCAATATTTGACAAAGTTTGGTTCTTATAGTATAGTTATCATGAATGTCACTCCGAAATTGACCGATGGACAACAACGGAGGGTCCTAACCCCGACTACGCGTCTAGGATCGCAAGCCGTGGATGGCCCTGCATCAGTCAGGCGCTCCCGCTTGGGAACGAGGTGGCACCACGTGCGGATGAGCAGGCGATGAACCTGTCTAGCCCGACGAACGTGCATCTAATCAATCAGATTAGATCCACAGTTCGTCGAAATCAAGGTTGCAGAGACCCTTTGATTCATGAATCTGCAGGAACTAGACCCAGTGTTGGCAAGTTTGGACCACCAAACTGGGAATATGATGAGTCTCCTTGGGGCCGACAAAGGAGGCAAAGCAAGCCAAAGCGCTGTCACTGAAAAATCTGTCCCGGGCATGTCCTAAAGTGAGTAGCGGCGGCGCAAGTGGAGGTCCAAGACGCCAATAAGCATTCCTCATCTGCTTGTGCAGAATTTCTCACAGTGATATTTCATGCAGATCAAAAATCCCTGCTGTTGCAAAGGAAGTCTAGAAGTCTAAATCGCGGTAGTTTGGCGTTGAATGACATTCTGGAGAAGCTCGACGTTATCAGATCTTGAGAGAGAGAGAGTACTGGGTTCCCTGAGTAAAACCATGTACATTTCGAGGTAAGAAGTCCAATAATCAGAGGGAAACAACGGCTTTCATATAATCACTGACTGAATTTAACTAACATGAGCTAGATACGCAGAGCTTCTTCTTGTTCTTCTGCTTCTTCTTCTTCAACGATAGGTCAAACGAGGTGACGTTGAAGAACGGACGAATCACAGCTTAGAACCAGGTTTCATTGCCCCTCGGCGATACGACGGAATCCCGCTCGGCTCGACCGAGTGAACCCGCCAAGACTGATTCGCGGCCATCATCCGTCAATCAACCATGCTTTAACGCCTTTTTCACGCCCATCTGGACTGCGGCGTAATTGGCAAAAGTCGATCTATCGAGTGAGTGGGAGCCGACCGAAAAGTACATGCATCTTGCGGGACTTTTGATCCATGCACGCGTTTCTTGATGTGGGCGGGCCGGGGCTGACGCTAACGTGGATTGATACGACAGAAGAAACATTTGATCTAGAAGCTCAGCTTACATTTCTTTACCTGCATTGGCTTCTTTCTCCATTGATCATTGTCACGTTGTCTTACCCAATCGGAAAATGGCGAAGAAGGACGATTTTCCGGCCCCGAAAAGCCCTCATTCAACGACAAGCTTGCATAGAAGAGGCGGCAGCCGAAGCCCAAGTCAAGATGACGACGTAGTTGTCAATGATGAGACACCACTGCTCAAAGCCAGTCATTCCAACATGGCGGTTCCTTCGTATCAGACTCCCGACTTGAGTCTCGTGGCTGAGACAGAAGCGCCCCAACAACCGGTGTCCTGGACGTCAATGCCAAAAAAGTGGCAGCTGGGCATGGTCGTTTTTGCACGCCTGGCTGAACCGCTCGCCGAGCGATCACTTACATCGTATCTTTTTTACCAGTTGAAATTTCTCAGCCCATCTTTGCCAGACTCGGCAATTGCAAGACAGGCCGGTCTTCTCACTGCTGCATTCGCCGCCGCCCAGTGTGTGACTGGCATGTTATGGGGACATGTGGCTGACAGTCCTCTTTTCGGTCGAAAGCGAGTTCTTCTCGTGGGTTTGCTGGGAACCTGCATCTCGGCGATTGGAATGGGTCTATCTACTTCCTATGCCTCTGTGGTATTCTTTCGTGTCCTAGCTGGAGCACTGAACGGGAATGTAGGTGTTCTCAGGACCATGATCTCGGAAATCGTTGAAGACAAAAGGTACGCGTGACCTGATACCCCTTTCACTTGCGGTCGCTTGATTAGTACTAATGGTTGAACAGGTACCGGTCTCGCGCTTTTCTTCTACTTCCAATGTGCTTCAACGTTGGCGTCATCATCGGACCTCTTCTGGGTGGATTTCTTGCCGACCCTATTGCATCTCTCCCCTCAATCTTCGGGCCGGGCTCGTTCCTCGGTGGTGAGAATGGAGTCGAGTGGATGATACGATTCCCATACGCCCTGACAAACTTTGTTTGCTCAAGCATCTTGATGATTGCGGCCCTGGGAGTGGTTCTCGGACTGGACGAAACGCACCCGCTCCGGCGCCATCGCCGAGATCGAGGCCGGGACGTCGGGCGCTTTCTTCTCAGAAAGGTCTTCAGAGTGGAAAGCCCGCCCAGTGATTATCATCTCATTGGCAATGGAAACGAGCCAACCGAAGCGGGAGACGTCGAGGACCAGTCTTCGTCTAATAAGCCCGTGGAAGACAAGGGCCGGGCGCCTCTGCGCGCCATCTGTACGCGCAACGTTATCTTGACGTTGGTTCAGAACTTCTCCTCAGCTCTACACGTTTCCGCGTTCAACTCCATTCTGTTTGTTATGTTGCCAGCACCTCAAGCAGACAACACCAATGCTCAACTTCCATTCCGATTCACCGGTGGTCTTGGTCTGTCGTCTCAGAAGGTTGGCTTTGCTAACACAGTCATTGGAGCTGTTGGCCTTCCCCTCCAGATCCTCTTGTTCCCCTGGATCAGCAGCAGGCTGGGCGTGCTGCAGTCCTACCGCACATTCCTCCCGTTCAGTGCGCTGGCGTATTGCTCGCTACCCTATCTCGCCCTGTTGTCGAACAAGAGCCCGCTCTTGTGGCCCTTCTTGTCTATCGTCTTGAGTGCACAAGTCATGTCAAGGACGTTTGTTGGGCCGGCAACGATCATGCTGGTCAACGATTCTGCTCCACACCCTGCCCTGCTAGCCACTGTGCATGGTGTTGCGTCGAGCACCTCAGCTGCAGCTCGCATGCTTGGGCCCACCGTTGGAGGAACTGTCCTAGGCTGGGGACTTAGCAACAACTTTGTTGGTGCACCATTCTGGGGCATTACGCTTGTTGCACTTGTCAACTGGTCGTTACTTTATGTAGTGAGGGAAGGAAACGCCATCTAGAAGTCAAAATGCATAGATATATCATATAAGTAGAAAGGCCGGCATTAGAGACTGCGTAGAAAGCCCCTGCCTATCGCATCAAGTACTAAGGTAGGTTTAAAGAAATATATGATCCCATCAGTGGTATTACCGCCAACCTCTGACTCAAACCATACAGCGCAACTTTGAAGTGTGACCACTCGCTCATCCATTTCCGTCCCTGGCCATCATTCGTTGACCAGACCATTCTCCTGATGCTGTAGGCTTACGTCGCCGGCTTCATCTTGTTCTCTAACTGTCGAGCTTTAACATTTCATCTCACAGCACTTTGATATCGGCTGGTTATCAAGAACCATGACTAAGAATGCCTGCTATCCGCTGTGAGGTATCTCGAATACATATCGTGCGAGAAGCTGCAAATGACAGCATGTGCTGAAAGTATCTAATTCGCAATCATGTTGAACACTATCTTTCCAATTCCTCCTTTCCCGTTATACACCGTTGCACACGCTGCTCTCACGCGGTCGATATCTTTGAAGTCGACTTTACATCCAACAACGGGAAGGATGTCTCCCTGTTCTGCGTGAAGAGTCAAGGTTTCCAAGTCCTTAGCATTGGGGTTAAGGAACAGGTACTCATACTTGACACCCCAGCGTCTTGCGCGTGCCCTACGATACGAATCAGCCAGGTTCAAGACCATGAGCCCATACCATGGGAGACGTGGGTTATCTGGTCTCTTCATCACACTGGATTGTTGAAGTTGAGTGCCGGAGGGCTGTGTAGCGATAGAGACAATCAGGCCCGTGGATGGTGTCATGAGGTGCAGGAAAGACATCGAATCCCCAGTTGTGTCTAGGATGAAGTCGATGGATCCTCGAGGAATGACCTTGGTGACGTCTTCCTTGGTGTAGTCGATGACTGGATTCTAGTTCAGTAGTGGTCTTGATTGAAATAGCTTGATTGAGGCTCACCTTGGTCAACAGTGTCTTTGCCAAGCAGTTCTGGCACTTTGTCTACCTTTGATGTTGAGACAGTGGTGATCACTTTGCCGGCATGAAAGACGTTCTTAGCGATCTGACACGCATACGCGCCAGTGCCACTCACTTCCAAGAGTCCATGTCAGCGATTTTTTATCGTAGACATTGAAGTATCTCACTCACAGCCAGCTGGTATGAAGACTGTCTTGCCTGATAACGATCCCTCGTACCGTCTCAAAGTTTGCAGGGCTGTCATGCCTGCCAATGGCAGTGAAGCGGCATCATCAAAAGAGATATTCTTGGGTTTGAGAGTGACGTAGTTCTGGGAACATTTGGCGTATTCACTCCATGCTCCTTCAAAGATAATGATTGAAAATTCAGCATCCGCACATACGCTCTGTCGCGTCTTTCAGGCACGTAACTGCATTACTTACCTCGGCTCGCTTCTGGTAACCGCGAGTAAACTTCATCGCCAACCTTGATGCCTTTGATATCCAAGCCCACTTCCGTTACGGTCCCTGAGCAATCATAGCCGATTTGGTACGGAAATCTGTTCTCATGCTGTCAGAGGACAAGATCATCTCATAGATAACGAGTTGCAGTGCGTGACGGACGTCTCTTTTAACGCAAGCTTGAATACTCCTGCTGCCTTCTTGACATCAACGGGATTGATACTCGCTGCGTGGACACGGAATACTACATCAGTAGGCTCCGTCACAACTGGCTGAGGGATTGTGGAGAGCTCATATGCGGACGGTTCGCAATAGCTTGGCGCCGTGACAGCTAGCATTGAGGAGGTCATTTTTGACCACAAGTGAATAGAGAATGGTAATTCTTCTACAAGACAGGCCAGAATGAAGTCGATTTGCTGGTGATATATTACCACTAACGTAGGAGCGTAGTTGAGGGAACCCCGAATCCCGCTTGGAGATCCGCCCACGACGTTGACGCTGAGCGGAGCAATAATTGAGCCGAGCAGGAGGTGGACAGATGAGTCTCTGTTAGCAGACGTTTCTGGTCGACCTTAGTCTCAAAGCGGATGAGGCCTGAATTCGATTGGCGCCAGCAAATTCTACTCCGCTCAGTAGACCTGTGCCGCCGGTGGGCGAACCGATCACATAAGCAAGACGCTAAGTGCTCGATAGCAGATCACGATAACGGATTAAAAAAAAAAAACCATCATGTTGAAGTCTGAATCCCGATCGACGTCCGCGTCTTTAACGGAGCTGCAGGTCACATCAACGTATGGAATCCGTAAACGTTATCTCGCATAATGTACTTCAACCGAGGCACCTAGTACATCTTATTCGCAGTCTGGCTTGAGAGAATTTTCTTCTCCTTTTGTTACCTGATACATCGGATAACGATGCTTTACGCCCCCGGATCAAAGCCAACATCGTTCAGGACAATTAGACGAGCTGAAAAGATATGAGCCAACTCCAATAACCAGGCGAAATGGAATGATCGAAGAAGTGAAAGTAAATTAGTATGCACAACGTATAGTACATGTATGAAGTGAGCGGGATGCGTGCATGCAGCATGACCATGTCTATGCTTTCCGATTGGATATGCCTGCCCCAACATTAGTACCGATTTGAATAGTGCGAGGCACACCCTGGCGGGTCTCGCAGCCTGGGTTCTTGTTCATAGAGCCAGCTTTTCCCTAATTTTTGATAGGGAGATGTCCTTGCAGCAACTTAAACAAGTGCTTGAAGCAAGTATTTCAACTTGTCGTTGCATTTACTTCTCTTCTGCCAGGAATTAAAAGGTTCCTGCAAAGGCTCCAAGCTCCCCCGTCCACAAATGACAATATCGAGGACTTAAATGTCGATTATCTTTCTGCCTCGTCAACATTACAATATGCTAGCGAAATTTGAAGCGGCAAAGTTCAAAGCCATACCAGTTCTGGAGGAGGAACTGATGACAGAGAGGGTCTTGTAAAGATCGAGGCGTCTGGTAGACTGGTAGGCTTATTTAGTCTCCAAGGCACCCAACAAACTTTGCTCAAACATTTCAATTGATCTGGAGCGATAAGAGCTGGGTAGACGCCACGTGGAGGGCCATAAAGGCTACCAGTACACAAACCCCGAATCTGAAGAACCGCCTTGGGAAAATGAGATCCATCTCCAGCGGGTGGGGCGTCCAGACTCCAGACCAAGCCCGCCTTCTAAACCCGAGTTGCAGGAACCAAGATCGGATAAATTTTCGCGCCATGACCAAAGAGGGTTAAAGCCTGCAGCCATTACCCTTCACCACGAACGGGAGTTGAAGATATATGTGCAAGGATCGAGACATCAGACGTGAATTCAGCGTTGATGATGTGCTTATAGAGCAGCTCAGCAGGAACCCATGTTGCCGCAGTTGCTCGTCAGCCTTTACCACAACAAATTACAACTTCTTATCTCTGTTGACCGGTGAGCAAGTTTGTATGTCACTTGGCATATCGTAAAGGCAATAATTTCCACCTTTTAACAAGTCCAGCCCTTGAATAAAAACGTACAAACCGGCAAGCCCGCCCAATAGAGAAATTTCACGGACGTAATACGGCCCCGCTTGGACCTCCGGACAGGCTCCGTGGCAGGCAAAAGACTTGACGGCGAAGTCATGTTGACGCAGTGGCTAGCGGCGGTTTTTGCTCGGCTTTGCTGGAGGAAAATTCTTGCACTCATCTGAATCTCACGGGAGCCGCAACGGTCTCCATCTTTTACCTAAAAGCTCCTCGCTTGTATTTCTGAATCGAGAAAGGCTCCATCAAGAACCGCCGAGCGGGTCTCTTAGCGCGGCTCCAACATGCCACAGAAAGCTTCTTTTACGACATCAAAACCTCCTCGTTGCGTCCTCCGCAATGTCAATGTCAAGAACAGGCCGAAGAGCGCCCACTCAGCGATCTCGAAATTCAGAGCTGACGGGGTAATTTGACAGAAGTGACACAAAACAATTAGATCTTATCAACTCAGAAATGCATTCCCCGTGTTGCAGGGCGATCTGTTATCTTTCCTGCCCATGGGGGCGAGATCATTCTGTGGAGGTGGCCCGGCTTTCACCGGGTCACCGAACTGACGATAACTTCTGTCAAGGATGAATCTAGTCCGTCTACCACCATGTGGACCCTGAATCCATCTGACTCGCGCCTGTAGGTTGATCGTTTAAAAGTCAGGAACGTGACACGCGTCATGCCTTTTTTGCCTCCTCGAGCCCTCCTCTTCCCGTTGGCTTCTTCCATCCCATCAACCCAACGACCTCTCCTCGGACTGTCTCTTGTCGTCCACCAATCGTCTTCAACTTTGCCGCGGTTGAAACACATCTTCTCCCAACATGACGGACGCTATCTCCAACACCGCCGACCATGGCAACAACGGCAACAACAAGACCTCCAAGCACAAGGAGGACGGACCTGATGCCGAGATGGTTCAGCCCCCTAACCCTTGGCCCGAGATGAACGACAACACCATGCTCGGCGAGACGAGCGACGAGATGAATAACGACCGCCTGAAGCAGATCGCTGCTCAGGGCAGCGCCCACTTCCACCGTCTGGGCTGGAAGCGCTTGGCGATTGTCACCATAGTCGAGGCTGTTGCCCTTGGCGCTCTCAGCTTGCCTTCCGCCTACCACACCCTCGGAATGTTCCCTGGCGTCTTTCTTACCATCACCATTGGTATGCTTTCGATTTTCACCAGTTACATCGTTGGTCAGGTCAAGCTGGCCCACCCGCATGTCGCCAACTACGCGGAAGCCGGAAGACTTCTCTTTGGTCGTTACGGACGCATCGGATACGAGATTTTCGGAGCTGCCCTTGTTCTCGAGCTTGTCATGGTTGTCGGTTCCCACGCCTTGACCGGAAGCATTGCGCTCGTTGATATCAACGGCGGCCAAGTCTGCTCAATTGTCTTCTCGGCTGTATCAGCTATCATCCTCCTGATTCTTGCTATCCCGCCCTCGTTCACTGAGGTGGCCATTCTCGGTTACATCGACTTCGTCTCGATTCTGGCTGCTATTGGAATCACCGTCATCGCCACTGGAATTCAGGCCAACAGCGGCCCTGGCGGCCTTTCCGGCATTGAATGGTCTGCTTGGCCCAGGGAGGGCGTGACCTTCTCTGAGGCCTTTGTTGCTGTCAGCAACATCATTTTTGCCTTCAGTTTCGCCATCGGTCAATTTTCTTTCATGGACGAAATGCACACGCCCACCGATTACATGAAGTCTATCTGGGCCTCTGGTGCCATCCAGATTGCCATTTACACTCTTACTGGCGCTCTGTGCTACGCGTTCATCGGTCCTTCGGTTCAATCTCCAGCCCTGCTCTCCGCCGGACCCCTTATCTCAAAGATAGCCTTTGGAGTCGCTATCCCGGTCATCTTCATCTCCGGTTCGATTAATTCGACTGTTGCCCTGCGATACATCCACGGCCGCATGTACAAGAACTCCCACCTCAAGTACATCAACACCCCCATGGGCTGGGCCAGCTGGATCATCCTTGTGATTGTGTTCACCATTATTGCGTGGGTGATTGCTGAGGCTATTCCTATCTTCTCCGATCTTCTCTCGCTGGCTTCGGCTTTGTTTGTTTCCGGATTCTCATTCTACATCCCCGCCATCATGTGGTTCACCCTCCTCTGCAAGGGCAAGTGGTTCGCACGCGAGAACATCCTCATCAGCCTTGGCAGCATCTTGGCCTTCATCGTCGGAGCTGTCACATTGGTCGCCGGAACCTACTCGACTATTGTAGATATCGTAAGTTCAATCGCTTCCCTACAAACATCTACGTTTAACAGACTAACACCCAAAAGATTGACGAGACAAGCTCTGGAAGCGCCCACAAGCCCTTTGCCTGTCGTTCATCTTAGGTTGTAAAACAATATTGTATATAATTAATAGTAGTTATGAGAAGTCTTCAGTGACTAGAATACGAGATACCCACGGTTGAGACCGTTATACAAGTACATCGGAACCATTGAAACTAGATCGATAGTTGAGTTCTTTCATAAGATCCAACTTATCGCTTGGCTTTCTGTTGTGGGTCGAGAGCTAGGCGATCGATCACACCTTAATCGAGGTAAGAGTTGGCTTGAATAAGATCTTCAAGAAACTCTGCATCCTTCGCCTTCCTAAAAACCTTGAATGATCACCTTGTGTCGAGAGAATTAGGACTCTATGAGGCTCTGATGTCTGACTGTGATCGCTGAGTTTCGGACAGGCTTATGAACAGTTGTCACATCTTTCAGGTCTTGTGAAGTAAAAGTTTCCCTGCTCTATAATAATTGGCATTGCTTCATAGTCTATCGTATACAGACCTGAAACAATACTAAGTTTTCACAGCTCGCCCCACTACCATGTGCTCGAGGCCTGAATCTTAATACAACCTTAGATTTAGAATTATCTCCTCGGGTAATCACATGGTTCAACTTTGCATGAACGAAAGATATAAATCATGCCGCTGGCGCCTAACGAGAAGAGAAGCACGCATCCGTAGGGAGGATGGTCTTGCCCGAGTTCATGTACTCAGTAGAATGGAAAAGGTATACTGCCTTTACCTCCAAGGTGAAGTTATCACAAGGTGAGGGATCAAATTGAAGACATATGCAAAGCGTTGATATTGGCTAGACTGTCAGAATAGAGAGATCTGTACAGGTTCGCATGCTTATACTCATACGAGACGAGATCTTGCGTTGTGATGAGCGGAATTAGGTAGTGCGGTAGACTGTAGTAATTAATAGGCAGCCCCACGTTTGGCGTTAGGACAGGAGTACGGCTGAATACTAGTTGAGAGGTAAATACTGAGAAATTGATTACACACGCGACTGAGGTAACAGAGGTAACAGAATACACAGGAAGCCTCTATACCCCTCTTCTTTTCCATTTCTATCACAAGCAAGAGCAGGCGGGAGACAGTCACACCGGTGGTGAAATATTTTTTTCTGTTGCATTGACTCACGTATGAGGCTATACTTGCATAGAAGCGATCGTGAATTGCTCATCTAGTAGTAAGACACATATCAACTATCACATGTAGCGATATGCCTGAAGCTTAGCTTGAATTGCGATATAAGGTAGCGAAGCGCCACAAGGTTGAAGGCCAGTCATAGTCCGAGACCACGGACCCAATGTCCTCGGCCCCACATACTGCCGAGGTGTACGGACAGTCCCGATCCTTAGAATACCACCACCAGCTTACCTTACCATAGTACCAACCATCTGGCCTAAGCAACGCAGATATTGGATTTGGGGACAATAATTACAGCACCCTGCTCCAAGGTCCCAGTGAATTTAAGTCTTGTAGTGCATGAGTACGTATGGCACCGTTGCTTGTAAAAGAAATATCAAAGGCCGTAACTTCATTTAACAAAACATCAGGAGAGCACCATCCCTCATGAAATCCATGTTCATACAGTTATTTTGACAATAAATTGTCAATAAACTTGTTAGCGCAGCCAAGGCTTGCCCCACCTTCACGTTCCTCAAAACGCCAACCTCGGCTGTGAGCGGTTCCCCATTTCTCCAATGAGTTGGAGGCGCCGAGGCGGCGCGCCAACGCGATTAAGCGGCAACGATGTGAACAACGAAGGACACGAACCCAGAGCCGACATCGCTTGATTACTGAACATCTCGTCAACAAATCCAGCGTCGCATTTCCGTCCAAACTTTGTGTGAACCACAGCAAGGATATACGATTCGACAGACCAGGCCAAGATTGATATTCGAATTACTCAACATGTCTCACGGTTCGATGGCCAGCTCGTTGCAGGAGCAAGTTGCGGTAGACGAACTGGGATCAGACCACTTCATCAGTCGCGTCGATCCCGCCCGCATGGGAAATAAGGCAAATATTGCATACGGAGGATGTACCATCAGCATCGGCGTTCAAGCGGCATGCAGCACTGTATCACCCAAGTACCTGCTCTATTCGGCGACGGGCAACTACCTAGGCCCGGCATTGACAGACCGCAAGCTCAAATGTGCTGTCCGAAGAGTCCGCGATACGAGAACCTTCGCCACCAGGTTGGTTGAGATCAGCCAAGATCAGGACGATGGCAAATCCAGACTATGCATGATAATGCTGGCCGACTTCCAAGTGAAAGAAGAGGCTTCTCTTCTCGTATACTCTGCGCCGCCATCAATGAGCTATTCACCACCTGAGAAATGTCTCACAACAAAAGAGGCAACCGAAGACAAGGTGCAGAGAGGCGTTGTGACAAAAAAGCTGGGGGATCTGTACCTGGCCACGTTTGGCTTCAACAGCCGCTTCTTCGAGACCCGCGGCTGCC